CTTATATGCACAATAAATTAGCGATGAATTTCTTGCCAATTGCTCAAGTATTTTATTTGGGATAATGTATACTATTGGTATGGATGTGGACTATATTATTGATACATTTTCTAAATTAAGATACCGTTGTGTACAATTTACATTGTAAAAAAACTATAATCATTAATTTTTTTATGGTTCTAATTTTCTAATAAAATGCGGCCTAGTGTTCTTTTGTGTTCTGGATTCGTCGCTGGTAAGAACAATCGCAACTTCCAAACGACCAGAGTCAAATCATTTTATTTTGGTTCAACCCGTTGAAACGTGATCACCTTGCTTACTCGGGTTAACTGTTGGAACCAATTTGACAACCTTGTTGCATGATGTCGTATTTTGGATTTTAAGGCGTGCATTTTTTTTGTGTGTAAATTGCAATCGCTTGAGATTGGAGTTATAGGGTGTATGGAGTATAGCCAGGTTTACTGTTGACATATAAGGTACATTCAAATACATTACCCGAATAGTTTATAGGAGAAAATTGAGTTATTTGGGTCAGGAGAATTGACGGGGCGAATAGCAACTTCATTTATTTAAAATTATTGAGCAACAAAGTCAAATGTAAGCATAACAAATCATCCTTGAGCGTTCAGGACCAAGGATGAAAAAAGAATCCAACAAAGGAAAAGCGTTAAAGATGATCATGATACTTCCCCAAGAATTGAAACTTTTGATCAGTTGAGGAGCAATATCACCATTTTTTTCCAAATTTTGATCAGCCATTTTGAATACTAAATAAATTTGTTTAGTATCTATAAGGTGTTAAGATATAAGTTGAGATTATTTATTATGATACATATAATAATGTAATTTGAAAAATATTATGATGTGGATACTTACGATTTATAAAAACATATATATATTTACATGTTCCCGAGCCTTTAGTAATTCGACCATGACAACGAAATTCATTAGTTAACTATTATCAAGTCGTATAATATTCGCATCATACCGATTAATTAAAATCTCAAATTTGTTTAAAACTATAATTTTAACTAATTCAATTTTCCGAACAATGGGCGGAATACAAGCTAGTACTAAAAATGTCATTGTCCATTTCGCATTTATCAATTCTACAGAAAAAATGAAAATAAGATTTGTCTAGCTATTTGAGTAAAAGAAAATGATTGTGTACACTTTGTCCATAGCATGGGAATATGTATGTTTTGGGTTATATGTGGGTTGAGTGGGATAATATTCGTGTTGTTTCAAGTTGCTGTACATTCATTTAAATATACTACTCAAAGAAAATAAATGTAACCATTTTTTTATGTGAGAACAAATAGGGAAAACATTTTCTAAATGCGAAAGAGAGAATAACTTGAAAATAGAGTCATACCATTTAAGAGACATATATTCTCACCTCTCCATATTTTTATTAGGGGAACCCGTGAGCTAAATTGTTATTTTAAAAAAAATTAGAATAGAAGAGATATGAATAAATCTCAGGACATATATAATAAAATGGTAGAAAAGTAGTATCGATACCCTAACTTGTATGAAGCGGATAATTTTTGCTTTCAAACAAAAGAAATGTATGATTTATTGGGTTGGATTAATATTGCACCCGGTTTTTAGATTTATTTTTCGATTTTAAAAGCTGAAGCAAGGCCAAACATAAAACAACTCTAAAAGCTCGGCTTTTGAAAAGCTGAAAACGCTGTTGTGTAACATAAAAGCAGAAGCTCCGATTCGCAGCTTCTGCGAAAAGCTGTTTTAAAAGTATAAGATTATCCTTTACCATATTTTAATTTTATTTCAAAAAAATAATTTTATTTCATTTATATCATTTTAAAAATAAAATAAATTATAAAATCATATTATTTAATATAAAAGAAATCTAACAAGATACATTTTGACTACTTTTTATTGTTTAGAATTTTTATTCATAGTTTATATTATAAGTCTTTTATAGTCATTTTACATAACCTCTCATATTGAAAAACACTTCTAATAGTTTTTCATCCAAACATTTAATTGCTTTTTTTGAAAAGTATTTTTCTAAAAGCTCTAGCCATAAGCTACTTTTGTCAAAACTACAGCAGAACCAAACTAGCCCACCCATTGTCATTCATAATTGTACATTTATAGAGTGATGATTCAATTGTGATTTATCATAGTTACCAAAATTGTTTTTGGAACTGTGTGAGGCAGTAAATTAAGTAATGATAAATGGGTTAATATTTTCGTATGGCCTGAACTTTGACCAAAATAAACATCCTGGGCAATCTTTTGGATCTATAACATCATGGCCCGAACTATACACCAAAATAAACAATTTGGCCAAACCCGATGTTTGACTGTTAACTTGGACGGTCAAACGCGTTGACTAACGGTCAACGCGCCACGTCACTGCCAAGTCAGAAGATCTGATTAATATTTAATTTTTTTATTTTTGGTTTAACTAAGGTATTAGATGATTTTTTTAATTTATAATAATTTAAAATTAGGGAATGTGTGGAAATTGTGAATTATTTTAAATATTTTATGCTGACTTGGCAGTGACATGGCGCGTTGACTAACTATCAACGCGTTTGACCGTCCAAGTTAACGGTCAAAAATCGGATCTGACCAAATTGTTTATTTTGGTGTATAGTTCAGGGCAGGATGTTATAGATCAAAAAATTGGCCAGGATGTTTATTTTGATAAAAGTTCAGGTCATACGAAAAATATTAACCCATGATAAATCACAGCTCCAAAAGGAACATAATATTTCTTCAACAAAAATAATTAGTAGATAATAGATCACCAGATAAGCTAAAAATTTCAAAATAAAAGGTTAAATGATGAAATAATCTTACCTGCCACTTATTTGAGTAAATAATATTTATTTAAAAAAAACCCCGGATTTAAAAAACCTATATTTCTTTATTCAATTTCAATAATTCCTTTGGCTCCTCTCCTAAAGTTTCAATTCCGTCTTCATCATTTATTTGCTATTTGGGGGATTCCCCTGCTTCAGTTTCCCACCGGATTCTCTGATTTTCTCCACTCTTTCTTTCTCTGTTTCTCGGCGGGGTGTTCTGTGGTGTATTGTGTGTTTCTGCGAGTCTGGGAGCTTTGGATCTCTTAAATGTTTTGCTCATTCCATGCTCAGATCTTATTTGTACTTCTCCAAAAATTGAGGTTAGCAAACGAAGATCTCCATTTCTCTCCCTCTCTTCCTCTGCAGCTTCTCTGTTCTTCTTCTTTTGACCGTTTGGGCCAATCTCCTTCGCTATGGCTACGCTAGCTGGCTAGGGTTTGTGTTCTATTCGGATCTGTAGACAACTAACTGGTTAACAAAAAAAAAAAAAAAAAAAAATTCTCAGCTTGCCTTCATTTCCCGTTTCTGCCCCCACCTAGTTGGTTGCAGAAAGTTAGGGTTTTGAATTTCGGGGAACCCATGAGCAGCACTTCAATCTCAGTTGATTGTGCTATTTGACTGCAAGTGCAAACCATAATTCTGGGCTGTGATTACTTTGAGCTGAATTATGTAGTTTCTCATTCCTTTTCTGTGGTTCACAGGTATTCCATTTTTGCCCTTCTATCGTCCCTGACTTCCTTCGTCCAACACCTCTGAACATTTTGCCAAGAGAGGGTCCAATTTCAGCTTTAATAAAGCTGCGGGCTTTACTATCTTGGCATCTTGGTCTCTGATTCAGGTACCTCCCCTTTATTTTTGTCCTTTCAGTTGTCCCTTTCATTTTCGTTGGCATTGTCGTACAATGGCTTTTTTCTTGTCTGTAGTAGCTGGATTTTGTGTTAAGCGAACTGAAAGTTTCGAGTGTTTTTTTTTTAATGGTAATTAATTTCATGTCCGACATAGCGCCATTTCTGTTTTGCCCCTTCTCGATGACTTCGTATTTAATGCGTTTATGGTTGCAATAAATGGTGCCATGTTTTCCATTTATGGAGATGGAGATTCTGGTTGGTCAACAAAATAAGTTGTGTGCAATAGGCTTACCTCTTCCTTTTGGTTACTTCATCAGCTCTCTATCCTTTTGGATGCTACGGGATGTTGAATGTTTGGATTTTAGAGCTCCTTGTGTTTAATTTTATTGATTTGATATCATCCTTCTTCAGCTTTATTAGGGCTTGGGACTTCAAATTTTGCTGTTCTTTCTTCCAGGTTTTTTTATTTTTGCTGGTTCATCAGCTATCAGTCTGTTCACACGAAGATATCAGAGCATTTGCCAATAACAACGCCCTGTTTTGGTCAAGCAAACCTGTGAACAATCTGTTTTGGCAACTTGGTCTGATTCAGGTATGCAAATGAAAATTCCTTGGTGGAACTTCTACATGAAAAATGTATAACTAGCTAGTTTTGTCTCTTTTGATCGAATAAACTGTGAAGAAGAAAGCGTCGATCGAGTAAAGCTTGCTTCTGTCGTTTCTGTGAACAAAGACCGACTGTATATTGTCGTTTTTCTTTTCCATCTGTTTGATTAGTGGTTTGATTAGCGGGCTTTTAGCTGTTAATTTTATCAGCATTACAACACATCACTGTTAGGTTGTTCTTTCCCCCTAGAGTTTTCGGTGTCTCAAGTGATCATTTCGAATGAGGGAGCTCCTCATAATTAGCGTTGTAAGTGATGTTTTTAAACATTCTTGTTTTGTGATCTTTTTATAAGAGAAGTACATTGACTTGCCTAGTTTTCGAGGGTTTAACTTTTTCTATTTCGATCTTTGGGTTTGTAGTTCTTTTACAAAGTTGTTTATCTATTGACATTGTGACAAATCACCCATACGTTATTATTTTTGAGAATTTTGATGGGTCACTCTATTGAGAGTTCTTTTGTCGTTGGCCCATTTAATCTACCTGGGAAGGGAGCTGCATGTAAATTTCAGTTCTAGTTTGTGGTTTTGCGCCGCGCCTACTGGTTTTTCATTTTCAATTCGGTAACCGTCGTTGACTTCAATAGATGGAAGGGTTTTTATTATCCAACTCCAGGTTTGGCATCTTTGTTAACTTTTCAGTATTTCAGAAGGACAGTAATGTAAATACAGAACAGTTAGGGAGATCCAACAGATTCACGTTTATGCCGACAGCAATATACTTTACCTTATCATACAGGAACGACCTGCCTCTCTCCAACTCCCACGATTTCACTTCTGAAGTCAAACTCTTGACCATAGCTGGGTCACATATTTGCAAAGTCATAAGAGGCTAGATCAATTCTTTAAGAAGAGGCGGTTAAGCATACTGGTGAAAAGCATAGCTGCTACAAGCATGATTGTCATGATTCAACAACTTATATGGATCCAAAGATGGTAGTAGACACCACAGTTGGCGATGTTAATGCAGATCAAATATATGAGTACATTTTATAAACAGGAGATATGCTTGCTCACATGGTATTTTGCTGATCAGAATTCTTGCCTTCTCTGCACGTTCCAAATTGTCATGCGCACCTCTTCCTGCACTGTACCGATTTTCCTCCTGAAAAATTAAAAAAAAAATGTGATGCTTATTCATCGACAATAACAATATTCTGACAAACTTCAGTAGGATATAAATGGAAAGACTCGAGATTGGACCTTCAGCATACAATTTTCTGCAGACCAATAAATTAAACAAATAAAGAAACACAAGCATCTGGTTCTATCCAAACTGACTGGAGAGAGAATGAATTCTCAGACTTGGTATACTCAGCACCAGACACAAAAGTAGCGGACAATCCTATATCCTTCATGTAGTGATGTAGAGGGTTACCCGAACAAGTGTACACTGGAGGACTGGAGCAAATAGAAACATACATCAGCGGAAAGAAAGAAGGAAGATCATAGTTTAAGACTCTCGATCAACAGCATTCAGTTAAATGAGCAACTACTGGTATGGTGTCGAGATCACTTATATAGAACCAACCAACCGATGACACATGGGTTAGTTAAAAGGAAACATACAAGGAGCCCTGGTTGCAACCTATGTGGAAGGTCATCCTTATAAACAAAAAAAAAGAACCTATAAGAAGGTTGTGAAAACAGTCCAGTAAACATGATACAGAGATGGATAGTGGCTATGAGTGAAGTACGATGGATTGAAACCACAGCTATGATACCCTTTATCTTGCAGCACAGTATTATGTCCAGTCCAAGCAACAACACTTGCTGACAACTTCCGCAACAATGGACCTGTGTTCTCCTAACTAGTAGCTCTAGCATCCTCCTCATCACAACAGATAACATTTTGAAACTCTTCTTCTCGCCACCCATAATTGATTGGCAAATCACCATTATGACCCTCCAGCCAAAGACATTATCTACTTAGAACTTCAGGAAGGCTAGCTTAGATTTTAGGAGAACTGATATAAAACAGAGTTGCATTTTTCTTACTAGTATAAACGACTATCAAACTTACACAGGTCAGCTTGTCTTCAACATTTTGCGCATTTCTTTGTTCCAAAGTATGCTGAACATACAAGAAAAAAGAGGGTTGCCCCATTCAAGAACTGAATCTAGGCAGCAACGAGAGCCTATCCAAGAAACAATGAGTACAAGTAATCAATTCACAACCACAGAACAGCTACCAAGTGTTTCCGCCTCTACCATGTGAGAATGGTCTATAGACATTACACGATGGATGAATAAACCTATCATAAAGGACCTAAAATTGTACAAAATTATAAATGCTGGTATCAATAGCGATCAATCGTATCAATGATACTGGATAAGTTCACAATCCCCATTTTCCCCCATTGAAGTTTTTTTGAAAAAATTACAGCTGTCAAAAGGATGATTACCTTTTCATAGTCTTCAAGCCACTTTTCTTCCTCATAAGCATGCTTCCATTTCTCTACCTTGTCCAACACGTCCCTACGACTCAGTGCTAGCTCTTTGGCGTTTGCTATCTGATTGTCCATACTGGAAAGCAGTTCTGAGAGCTCAACATTTCCTGTGCAAGCAACAATTATGAAAACAGAACATGAAGGCATAACTGAAGCACAGAACTAAACCAAACATCTATAACATTTAAGTCCTTGTAAATATCAAATTTGAAATGTATGCACGAAGCACAGAACTAAACCAAACATTCTGATTACCAGATTCAATCAGATTGATAAGAGTCTGTCGTGCTCCATCAGTATCTATATCCATATGAACATCTCTGTATATTGCTTCCAGCTCGTTTTGTCTCTTCAATACCAACTCTTTCATCTTGCTGGCTTTGAGAGCATTCAATCTCTCAACTTCAATCTCAGTCTAATTGCAGCAGAAATGTGGTAAGTTTTCAGCAAAAAGAAAAGCAACTCCTCAAGTCATAGGCAAGAGACATTTTTTGCACCTGCTCAATGACCTCAAATGCAAGGCAGCCTTTTCTTAATGCCTCGTCCAGTGAGGAAGAAACCAATGAAGTAACATGATCAAATTTTTCTTGTTCCTCTACATTTGTGTCCAAGAGATCCCATAGCCCCATTAGTGTCTTCCCAAGATCTTGGAGCTTCAGTAATGGAAGAGTCATGCCAAAAACATAATGAAGGAAACTATCAGAAGCAAGACCTCAAAAACAACCAGGACATATCAGTACATTGTTGAGCACTAGCTTGACATAAAAAGCTACCTCATTTATCTTATAAAAGGAACAGTAAAAATATAGAGGAGCAATACCAAACTTCTGCATAGTACAAGAACTTTGGTATTTGGAATAGCACAAAGCAACTGGTTAATTTACAAAGAGGAAATGGAAGCCTGAGCCATGGTTGCATCGCCGTGAGATAAAAATGCTTCCAAGAGATAATTCAACTACTATCAATCACAGAAATGACAACAGCAGGAGCCAAGGTCTATGCATGAGTGGAATTCAGATCATTGAAATCCTAGCGCTCTCATTAGCCTCACTTTCTTGGAATTGCTACAATTATCTCTGAGCTACTTTATGTACAAAAGAGAACTCGAGAACCAGAAAGGAATAGTAATGAAATGAACATGTTCATCAGAATATCACCTTACGTAGCCTGTCCAGCTTCTCTTGCCTTAATGATTGTATCACCTTAGTTAATCGAGCTAGTGTGCCGTTGCTTATGCTCATTGACTGAGTACGGTCACTTAAGCTGGGATGGATATCAGCAACGGTACTGGAGACATCAATTGACATTACAACTGACAGCTCATGAATTTTGCCGATAGAGCTGCTAACCTTATGTAGATGTAGATTCTGAAAATCAGACACAGAAAGATAATGAACATGAAGAGAGACTACGAGAACAAAAAATATGACAATTCAAGGAGGTATTCAACTTTAGAACCTTTTCAGTTTGAAGTTCCTTGAGGTGTGACTTCAGTTCGCCCAACCTCTTCAGAGTCAAATCACATTCATCAATTGTTGGATGGACAGTGTTGATATCATTTCCTTCAATTTCAGCACAGATTTGAGCAATCTGTAACTGAGTCTCATGAAACTCGATCATTCGTGCTTGTTTCCTCTGTCTCAAGTCTTGCAAAGCAGGTTTGAGGGCGGATAATTGCTGCTTCAAAGAGCCTTTTACCCTCTTCGATAGACAACAAAATCAAAGCGACGAATGAGAATATAACAAAGCTACAACAGTATGGACATAATTTCCCCAAGAGATAAGAGTTCCAAGCAAAAAAAGAAACCTGAGGAAATGAGGCAGTTTCCCCAAGAGCAGAAACCAGGTCTGCAATTTCAGTTTCCCCGTCAGCCAATGACTGAGCCAACTCAGCTTTGTGCTTTCTGCTGGAGTCAACCTTTCTACGGTAGATATCAAGGCACTGTTGCTCGAGTTCCTGAAGCATCATGTCCTTATCCCCATCCTCCTCCCCAATTTCATCCCATATGACCTTCAACACAATACATTTTCATCGGAGTCAGACCAAAAGAGAACTGAGAATCAAGCTCGAATCTGAAAATCTCCAACTCGAGATCTTGCGAATTGACCTCCAAAAAACACCTAACTATGAACGGAACCAGAGAGACGGCAAATAACTGATATCGGCGATAATTGAAGTACTGAAACAGACTGTAATCTATCTTTCGGAAGAAGAACGGTTAGCGTTCTCCAGACACGTAAGGTCAGCAGCGAATCAGAAAGAAGAAAGATAGCCATCGCCAGACGAAGGAGGACCAAGCAGACACAGGCAGGGAAAGCACAAACGGAACGCTGGTAGTTTACTAAGTTAATCGCCATCGAGAGAGAAGGAGAGAGAGAGGGAGAGAACCTGCAATTGGCGGCGGAGGGAGGCGCAAGTGGTCCGGGAGGGAGAGACGAGAGCGGGGAACGTCGCCATTGTCGGAAGGAGAGTTCGAAGTGCGGAAGTTTGGGTGTGGAAGAAGGGAAATCGTCAAATGGAACACGAAACCCTAGAATTCCAGGGGAGGAAAGGTTTAGAAGGAGGGTTACGGAGGCGCTCCTTGGCTTGGCGTCACTGGAGTTGAGTTGTGCGGCTGGCTGATTCCTGAGCACTAGCACCGAATTTTTGGTCGCAGTTTTGGGTTGGGGAAGGAGGGAAGATCCCGATGACTCTTTTTTCTTTAATTCTTTTTTCTTGATTTATGTGTTATGACAGAATAGCCCTTTCCCAATATAACGTACGGCTTTGGAGTCACTGATTTTGGCGCCAGAACTGCCTTTTTTTCGTTTCCGTTTTGTTTTTTCTTTCTTTTTTTCCATAGGTATTTTTATTTTTTAGCCGAAAGGAGCATAGATGCGATCTATACAATACATTTGCAAGATGTCACAAAATGGTAAGAAGAAAAAAATTGTTGGTCGACAAGTGTACGATCCAATGATATAATGATTTTTTTCTCACTGTATGGGCAGCCCGTTATATTGACAAGGTGCGAAATGAAACGTAGCACGATGGAATGATAATCGTGGCACCTAGATCTCTTGCAAAATAGCTCCGCCCATCGAGTAAGCGATTCTCTCGCATTGATCATCCAATTAACAACATGCACATAACCACAAAACAAAACATGAGAATAAGAATGTGTCAAACACCAATGAATAACATCACGGAGAGCTAGAAACTTCAACCGAACGAGATCAAAGATAAGCGGGTAGAATTGAACAAATGCAAAATATTTAGCATCTTCGCCATCAAATCCCACAAAACCAACTGATCTACACACACTTACTTCAGTGGCACCATCAAAATGAACCTGAATTGTATTACTAGGAATGGAAGGCAGAACCGAGACCCCGATCGACACTCTAAAAATTGCGTCTAGCAGCTAAAGGGGGCTGGGAACAAGCCAAACCCCACTCGGTCACCTGAGCATCGAATTGCCTTACCCCACGCGGTACGGGGCGAGGCCGGTCATACTAATTTTCAGAGGGTTGGGACAACTAGCATTTTCCCCTGATCTCATTAATTGGATTTGAACCAATGTCAAGTTACTTGACCCAATCTTACATATTATTTGAAAAAAATACACATAAAAAATTACTTTTTACGATAAAACAACGGGAAAAACATTTTATGAATGAAAAATAATGACAATAGAATAGGTAATTAAGTCTAACTAGTTGAAAGATCAAGTCTAACTAGTTGAAAATAGTATAAATAGAAAAAATATGAATAGATATTGTAAGTTATTGACATAAAATGCGCCAAGAACGGGGCGGGCGAAGCAGGGCGGGTCGGAAGTAAATACCCATACCCCGGCCCATGCTACTGCGGGTCGGGTAATATCAGCCCCATTACGGGTCAGGTCGGGTAATACCCGGCAAGGCAGGTTTAAATTGTCATCCCTACCAAACTGGAGCATGACCTGGTAACATGAATGGCTCACATTTTAGTGGTCAATCCGGTGTTGGGTCGTTAAAAAATCGTTAACGAACTGGTAACTTATAAACAATAATATCATAAATAAAAAATACATAAGATAGTAATTTAATAATTTAATAACTAAAATTATATTTACTTTGCCGATAGCCTGGTACCACTTAGTAATTTTTCACACTATACATAGTATAACCTCTATAAATTAGTATAATCGGGACCGTGAAAATTATTGATTTATAGTAGTTATTAATTAATCAATAAATTAATAATTATTATTTTAGAGAGGTTTTTCTTATTATGTACCTTCATCGTATCTTCCAAACATTTCAAGTTTATACGATAACTTATCGCATTCTACGTATTCATTGTACTAAAATTTAATAGAAGAAAATTATGTATTCTTCCAAGATAAATGTATTGATGTATTCTTTTAGATGGTTTAGATTCATGTTTTAAACTACTTGCACACCTATATTTATTGATCATACTTCATTTAGAAGACAGCACCGGAGACTTTGAGTGAAACGAGGAAAGTTCAAGATGGACTTCTATTAGACTTGAACTTCAAGAATAAACAAACAACTATATATTCATATTTTTCTAGATTATCCTAGCTATATTATAAGTTTTTAGAGTAATTTTATTTTTATAATTATTAACTTATAGAGCTAAAAATACATGTATTTATGTAGGTTGTTTTCAAAAATTACTATCTTATTATTTTATTAAATTTGCTTATTTTTTACACTATCCCAAATCGAGACCCGAGAAATTATTAATTTATATTAGATTATTAATTTAAAGAGATTATATTGTACATAACAAATCAATAAAAACTCTAACCCTATCATAAGTGGCAGCCCCACTTCCCCTATCCTCTCTCTTGACTATCTCCTTCCTTCCTCCTCTCCAAAAGCAATAGCGTCGCTATTAGGGGTGGTAATCCGGTAAACGGTTTACCGTTTTACCGAACCGGTAACCGGCGGTATCGACAGCCGAGCGGGAAGTTGGGGGAGTCGGTTTACCGGACACGGTATCGGTAAATACCGACGGTAAATCGGTAATACCGATACCAAAACCCCCCTCCCTACTCCCTAGTGTTGCGCTGCGTTTTGTTGCTGCACATCATTATTCACAAATATAAAATAATACATACATGAATGTAAGTAAGTATAGGACTCAAAAATATTGTAAATAAGAGTTAATAATAAATTATTAATTACAAAAATGATGAAAAAAACTCAAAAAAATCAAAATATTACAACATCACCCCACTTCTAGAAATTCGGTTCGGTAAACCGACCGAAAAACAGCTCAAAATCGCTTCTCACGGTATTTCGGTAATACCGGTTTGTAACCGTTTACCGGTACTTCGGTAATCGGTATACCGGTTACAAACCGGTATCGGTAATCGGTAACCAATTTGGCCAACTTCGATATACCGAAACCGGTAAATTCGGTAAACGGTAAATTGTTTACCGACCGAATCCCACCCCTAGCCGCTATCACTTCCCCATTTCTTTCACATAGTGATGGAAATTACCCACCCATGGGTAATTATTTATACCCAACTCACAAAAAGACTTATTGATAATGGGTAGGGATGGATGAGGCATATATGGGTTTGGAGGTTTGTAGATGGGTCTGGGTAAGGTATTGATATTGCTTATATAATTTAAATGGGTATGGGTTAGATATGAATATCCATTTGCTTGAGTATGTTTTAACTACACTTACCAAAAATTGATCTATTTGTAAAACTTGAAAAGTTTAGGTACCAAAATATAATATAAAAAATATTAGGTAATAAAATATAATTTCCATCTATATTTTGAGGACTTATATGCAAAAAAAACTAAACTAAGGTACTAAATATATAATAATTTTAGGTACCAGATTGTAATTTGCATTTGGGCATGGATACAAACCCAAATCCATGCGTTAAAAACTCAATCCAAGTAAATGGGTATGGGTACAAACTCATCAAATCTACCCATCTACTATCTATTTGGATTTCATAACCCATCCAATTGGGATGGATAGTAAAGTACCCATGGGTATGGGCAAAATGTCATCCCTACTCTCGCCTATCATCTTTCTTCTTCCTCTCCTCGGTTCCTTCTCACAGCCACACCTATCTTCAGCCATGCTACGTCCTTCTGCAAATGCTCTAAAACCCATCATCACCTTCAATTTTTCCTCTTCCTTCCTTAACCCCCACAGGGTCTTCCTCGTCCCCCATCGGCGAAATGCCTCAATTAGAACTAAAACTAAATAAAATCCACCATTTCCGCCACTCTATTCCCAACCAACCCTCCGCATACAAACCTCGAGTCGTACCAGCCCTTCTGCCCGCCGCATTCTCCTCTCCCAACATTTTTATTTATCCTCTCAATCACAAACAAGTTATTCATGCATCAATGATAACAACCAATCGATTCACCACACACAAACATAGTGCCAATATGATCGTCCAAATTTTTATACTTGGAGCCCTCAAATCTCAAGATTTGGGCAGTGAAATAAGCTCCAAGACAAGCAAAACACATCATTCATCACACACATGCATAATGTAACACTCCCCACACTTGAGCACGACATCGTCCTCAATGGAGTAAAATAAGAAGGGTAGAACAATGTTACCAAATTAGGTGATGAAAGATGGAACATAAGGTGCGTCCCATGCAAGAGAGAGTCAGTGGAACCACAAACACCACACAAAAGCACACAAATGTTGAATTATTGACTCAAAAATAAAAAGACTAGCTCAACCAAAGAGCAAAGGGAAAGAAAGTGTAAACCGACTGGTTGGGTTGCCTCTCAACAAACGCTTCTTTCACGTCTTTAGCTAGACGGTGGCTTCTAAGTTTCTGTCCATGCAAGAACCTCCTTGAAGTTTAGGTTCTCGTCGATGACGTGGAGTCTCAAGTCACGAGCAAGTGGTATAGCATGTTATGTGGGCTCGTGCACTTGATGCAAATGAAGTCTCCACTCTCGAGGCCTCTTCTTCTCTCGTCTGATTGCCCCAAACCATATATGACAGCATCAATTTACCACCATTGCGTCCACCAAGAGGGACCGATGTCGATGCGGCCTTGTTCTGACAAAGAGACACTGCAAATGGGTCCTTGCCAAGCAGATCTTCGAATTTTGGTGGAGATATTACATGTAAATCATGGCCAGTGCAAGGATCTTCCACCTCAACTTCGTCCTCATCATGGATGCCAATTATTCATCAACACCCTTCCTTCTTCATAATGTAGTCTCTCCCCTGGGAAAAGATCAAGAACTCCTTATGCTTTTCTTCAGTCATCCTCCGCAACTTCTTCCCTTAACCTTCCTCATTCTTCTTCTTCTAGCATGGATTGGAGAGCAAGTCGTCATGCAAGGCTCTTAATAAGATCAACTTGCGTCTTCTCACTCATGCTCGCCTCTTCAATGGTCGGTGTGGGATATGGAAAGATATGGTCTGCTACAATAGGGCATTCCTGATCATGATCATAACGTGAGCTCTCTGTGACAACTTATGTCTGCTCCACAATGTCCTTGTAGCCTCCTTCATCCTCCTCCTCTTATTCTTCTTCTTCTTCTATGGTAGGAAAAAAGGTAATCTTGAGCAAGCTATGCACAAACTTGCTCAACCCGTTTTGTTTGATTCGTTGAGCGTTGAACAATATCCTCTATTTAACATAGAAAGAAAGGGTCAGGAGGAGCAATGGGTTGGATTAGGAG